TTGCCGTAGTTTACAACTCCAATTCTGAGGCATATGCCTAAACGCTCCTTGCCAGGGGAAAGGCTGACGGAGGTCGAAATCCGCGACCAGGTCGTCCTCCTGCTGCTAGCGGGCTGCGTCACCACCGCCTGCACTCTCATCCACCTCGTGCTCGATCTCGGCCGTAATCCACAAATAACGGAAAGGCTGCAGGAGGAGCAGGTCGCCGTGGTGGCCGCCCTCGGCCCCGGCATGGACCTGAGGCCCTGGAGGCCATGCCGTATGCGGGGGCCTGCGTCAAGGAGGCCCTGAGGGTGAGCCCCGTTGTGGGCCGGTTACTGCGCAAAGTGTGGAACGACTTTGAGTTCAAGGGATTCCCGGTGCCCGCCGGGGGGACGGCCTTTCCAACGGTAGGGATAGACAGGCCGCTGCAGCCATCTTGCAATCGAATTGATGGAACAAGTTTATTGAATTTGATTGGCACCACGCAATTATTCTTGCCCTTCTTTGCGTTGGTGGGAGCCTGCTTTACGCATTGAAGGTTTGTTCTCTTGATCTCACTGACCATTCGTGGTATCTTCATCCGCGCTCCCTCCACATGTATGTACCGCTAGGAAAAAGGGGCCAAATAGCACGTGTTCAAGCGTGTAGAAAGTTTACTAGTTTGTGTTATTTTTGTGTTCTTGGCGTGCAGGACTTTGATGAAATGTGTTTTATGTATGCTCGCAAAAGTTCTATTTGGCCATTTTGTTCCTAGTGTGCTGAAAACACGACTTAACACGGTGACAGAAACAATGAGCAGTCCCAGTAATCTTAAGCGTGTACTGGTTCCTGTCTTTTGCTCGTGGACGAAGCCACATTGGTCGAGTGCCATGATGTTACAAACAGCTGACAAGCACCGCCAAGGGGGAGTCTACACTTAGGAACAGCAATATGACTCAACGTCCAGCCATATACGCTCAACGATAGTCACTAATGACACAGCCACTATTACAGCCCTGTCAATCTCCCAGAATTTCTGAGCATTCCGCTCCTGCACTTTTACCAACTTAGCTCATAAACACTCACAGGACAACGAGAATCATCACAGCAAGTAAATTCAAGCCCAACAGGACACTTGGGGTGTTGTCGAGCGCTGCCGAAGCGAGGCGCAACCCCAGAGCTGAACTTCGTGTTCAAGTTCACCTTAACCGCTCACATACAACGAGAAACATGCAACTGCTGATCAGCTCGACGAGAGGCATGCAAATACACGCTCAAACTGCGAAACGACGCTCCACACCTCGCTCAGTAGCTCAGTATGACGAGCGTACTGACCATTCTTCAAATGTCGCAAACCGATGTCATCGATGCTCGTTCCCTGCGGTCCAGCGCTGCGCTCCACTCACTCGCCAAGCAGCGGACGATGAAGACGAGTCGTTGAGTCGACGAAGTCAGCGCCCAACGTGAGCGCACGCGGGTCAGCCGGTCAACGAGGCAGGAAACGAGCTTGGCGACGAGCCGTGGGTATGTGCAGCTGTGCACAACCCAAAGGCAATCGATCCGGAGGGTCAAGAGACAAAGACACACGGAAACGAAGGTGTTCGTTACAAAGCTGCTCCCCTTCGACCACGTTCGACCTCAACAACCCACAGCACGACAGTTCGCAACCGAATACCCACCGTTCAGACCGCTAGAATCAAGAACTGACGGGTTGGGGTTGGAGAGAGAGAGGGAGAGGCACTCACAACCCAACCTCCGCCACCTAAATACCCCTAAAAGCTCCAACAGCAATACACTTCAGCGACCCTTGGATAATCAAACAGACACATCAAGAAAAAGGCCACAATACTCTTTGTACCTCTCAGAACTTCCCATTGACCTTCTCCACGTTGACCCTTTCCAAAGGGTCACACAATACAATCAAAAAAGTCACCTATGAACACTACAACACTACTCAACACCCGTCAGCGCCCCTTGGCAGTACTCCCATGAAGATGTACTGATGTACATTCTCTTCCCACTCACGCTGCAATGAACTAAGTGCTGTAGGTTCCTGAAAAACCAAATTAGGGGGAATCCCCCTATCCAAACAAAAAAATACACCTAATGCATTTTTCATCCCATGTACACCCCACAGTCCCGTAGTGGGTATTGTCCCCTGGGTGCCTAACCCATTCTACCTCCCTTTCCCCCATGTACGGCATGCGTGCCCTCAATTGAATACCCTGCATCATCCAGCTTCCTTCCGGGCCTGGCAGCTCCACCTCCCACTCAGTCATTACGTAACATTTCCAATGCGACGCGGCGACCACCCTCCAGTACACCCGGGTAGCGCGCTCCACCATCCCCACCGGCAGCCCCCCTTCTCCCTCGGCGAGGCCACCCACGCACCCCTCTCCGGCCCACGCGAACGGCGCGGGCGGGCTGTTCGGGCCGTCGCGCTCGGCGGCCATCCATGCATCTCGCTCGGAGATGCCCCAAACGCCCTCGCCGCGCCAATTCGCGGCGAAGACGCTCCGCCGGAGCCGATCGCCCAACCAAACGTTGGGGATCGCCGCAACCCAGTAGGCTCGGACGGCAAACAGCTGGCCGTTCCGGTGCCTTACTCGCCACCGAGTCGTGGCATCAAAAGCGGAGTGGATCCAAAAGAGGGGCGTTCCGGGGCCGGAGGCCATGGCCCACGCCTCCGCCCCACCGAGCCCATTGCGGCACGCGAGCACCACTTTGCCCGCTTCGTCTAGGCCAACCAAAGGCTCGCCCGGGCCCCTTCGTCCCTGCGTGCACGGATCCACAAATATCCCCGGAGGGAGAGAAAGCACCGCTCCGCCATGGAGCATGGCGGAACCGGAGAGTCCGCCCACACCGAATGCGAGCACGTTCGACCCGCCTGCGGAACGTGGGGATGCTTCGGCCATGGCGAGGGAGGGCTTCCGACGGTCCCTGCACGGTCGGGGAGGCTGGGGTGTTGAGGCGCGCCGAGCAAACCGGGCACAGCGGGCATAGGCGGGGCGCAGGCACAACCCGCGCAGACCAGATGCAGGGGGGCGCCGTCACGTCCGACATACGGTACATTACACGAAATGTCAAAAGGGTGGTCTCCCGTACGGGTGCAAAACCACAAAGTACTGTTAGCAGCCGCACCCAACGTCCCATCACGCCTCATTGGACCCCTATACCCTGCCAGTACCTGTCCTGTCAAGGTCCTAGGACCTTTTGCAAAAGTTCAGGTCCATTCAAGGACACCCCCTACGGTTCATGGTCTCCTCAAAACGGGTCAGGAATTGGCCGTTTTTCCCTACGAAAGTCGCTCAAAAGGCCCTTACAAACCGGCCAACCTCTCACTCAAGGTCCCTCACCACACGCCCTGCACACACCGTGCCTCTTTTCCCCGGCTAATAGTACTGGACAATTTACCATAATCGCATACTAAACCCAATTCTGTACACCCAAATTCCATCACCGTCAAACTGTATTGTATCCCGTCAGCATGCGGCTCCAGCTGACTAGTTTTCGCCCTTTTCCTTGACCAGTTCACAGCCCAGTCACAGCCGTCCGTGCTGCCCGTAGAGTGCTCTGCAATTGACGTCATTGTTGCTCATTCTGGACGGTTCTGATGAGCGGTATTGTAAAACAGCGAGATGGAGGACATCTCAGCTGTAAATGCATCAATTCGTGTGCACTGGAGAGAAGCTGAGCGTGCATACGTTTGCCCTGATCATTCAGCAGCTGCATGACCGCTAAATGTAACCGTATGTCATGCGGTTCAATGTGACTTCTGCTGAGCACATTGACCTTTCCTTTCTCTACGGCTTTCTCTCGATTACAGTGGTGGCCATTTACTTGAGCAGATTGGACTGTAATCGAACAACATACGTAAAAGTGCTACACGCAACTGGGCCAATGCTTGCATGCCGCATTGCCGCATTTGTCCATTCCATGCCTTGATTTGCTGCACGAAAGTGCCATCAGTGTTTTGGACCAGCGTCCGAATCCCAAAAATGTCCGCCCTAAATTGGATTTTGTTGAGAAATTGAGCGCGAAATGCATGCAATTTGAATGCCTCAGATCGCCCACGTCGCACACCACGGGGACAGCAGGTGGCCGGAGGAGCATGACGTCTTCAATCCTGACAGGCATCTCACCGAGGAGGGTCGGAAGCCAGGGTCTTGGGTGCCCTTTGGTCTGGGGCCCCATGTGTGCCTGGGCCGCAATCTATCCGTTCTGGAGGCCAAGATATTTTTGGCCACACTGGCCGGACATTTTGACGCATCTATCCACGATCCGTATACAGAGCACGAACCGCAGCCTAGAGAACTAAAAGACGGGTTGCTGATCACCTTCACGCAGCAAAGCATTGAGTGATCGGGATGACGTCATGCTACTACATCGTTCTGTGGTACAAGTGCACTGCATAAAACCGAAGTGATGCTCATCACTCGAGTCCCTTGCTTTGGAATGCTGAAGAATGCTGTCAAGGACTGTGGAAACTTTTGCTCAATCTGCCTTGAGAATACGGATGCAATGTAATATAAACTCCAGTGCATTTACGGTTATTTGATGTTGCCCAAGGAAAGCCAACCTTGCTTCCCATGGGAACAGCCATTGAAATTGGAACGACAGAGAAGATTAGCATGGCTCTGCATGCCATCGTTCCGTATCCTGTCATGATTCTGCTTGCCGTCATCCAGGATGTTGTCATTCTACATGCCATCATCCTGCGTGCGACCGTCCCACAGGCCACCAACAACACCCGTCAGCAGACGACGAACCAAATCCCACAAGGCGGCCCCCACACCCGCCAGCCCCCCTCCCGCACGGCGAGGATGAACCCACCGGCCGGTTGCAAGGCGTCCACGGCGATCTCCACAGCCGCCCCCCTTGGCCGCCAGTGCAGTTGTTCCCATCTTCAATCGCCGCTAAGGCATTCCAATAAAAATGCTGTCTCGCGATGGGGGCCCCTCCCCATACAAGTGGCCAATGAACGTTCCCAGGAATCTGCATCCGCTGGGGAGGATCTGCAAAGCTTGCCGCTGCCGCCCATGTCCAAAGGCGCCCCGCTGGTCGGGGACTTCTTCAAATTCGCGACCGGGTCCACGCAGTACACCGTGAGACTGGTGGACGAGCTGGGGCCCGTCTTTCGATCGAAATTTTTTGGGCTGAACTTCGTGTTCATCTCTGGGGAGGACAACCTGAGGCGGGTGCTGCAGGAGGAGGCGGACCTGCTGGAGATGGTGGTGAGCAAGGCGCAGCGATTCCTGATGGGGCCCAGCAGCCTGGGGGTGCTGGACGGGGCCGAGCATGCGCGGGTGCGGAGGCTCACCTACCCCAGCTTCACCACGGATGCGCTCAGCACGCACATCCCGGACATTCAGGTTGGTGAGGTTTATTACAAAGAGAGAAAGAAACAGGTCATACAAAAGGACACACCCTCCCTAGCAACTGCATGTGAGACCCCTTTGCGTGCTGTTAAGAGATGATTTAGGGCCTCCGGTGCAAAATGATGAGCACGCAACGCAAGCAACACAAAGACAAGAAGACAGCCAGTCAGGGGGGCGGATGTTCAAGTGGACGTCGGCCGCTGCGGTGGCATCGAACTTGGTTCGAATTGCGCTTGCTGATTTGGATGGATCTTTTGGTTGGAATGGGTAGCTTCCGTGGATGCGTTGCGGTTTGCCTCCCTGAGCTTCAATGTAGCTGTCCTCAGCCTGCACATGTCGGATGTGCGCACGGGATCAGGCACTACAGTGCAGTCAATTTTGATGCAAGTTCGTTATCATTGGCTGGAACGAATTGGCACCATTTCTGAGGCCAATTGTTGACAGGCCATGGCCACACTGTGCAGTATCGTGAGGTTCCATTCGTGGCTCACCTGGGTTTTCATCCTGGCAGTACACAGCTCTCTCGTCCCTGGCATCAATATGTATCAAAAGCCACAACTGTGGAAGTAATGGCAGCTAGAAATCATGTCACAAAAAGACATGCTTGCGAGTGAAGATATTTATGGCATTCTGTATGGCGTTCTGTGAAAGATGTTGTAGAATCTCTGAGTGCAACGAGAAAGTGTGCAGCACAGAGCTGAATGTCCAGCAACAAGACATGCTGTCAAGGAGGTGCATTTGGCTTGAGGTGTAGCCCCATTGATTTTGTCTGTCGTTTTTGCCAAACATCTGGTCTCACCAGCAAGTGGATGATCTTGTTTTGGCAAGCGGGAGAAGGCAGAAACAAGGTGCCTTCAGTTACTTCGAGATTTTCAAATGTTTTATTTGCGTTTCTTGCTCTTTGGAAGTCATCAAGAACTTGATGGGCTGGCAGTAAGCCTGGTTGATGAAACATAGATGGATACACTTGTGTAGCAAGCACATGTCACCCACTTGGCTCAATAAGATGTCTCCATGCTGCAGATGGCGCATTGTTAGGACACTAAATGCTCTGCACAGCCCAACGTGAGGCAAATGGGCACATGTTGGCAAAGCAATCGATGCAGAACCTTGTGAGCGTGGAATGCCATCTGGTGACCAATGCACAGGTTGCATTGATTCTGTTGTTCTTGAGATGAAAGCAACTCATGCAAGTCCCCTATGCATGAGCACAGGGACATGAGCACACTTTGGGTGCATGAGCACATTTAAGTGATGGATTTGCAGTTTGTGGAATTGTGGCCAGATTCAGACACTGGCTCAGAACAGTGGCACACAACCTGTTCTGGTGTGGATGGCAAGATGGCAAAGATGTGTGCAGCATTTTGAGGGACAATGGCAGTTTGGGGTGGGCCACTACTGGGACCACGCTGACCTGCGCACCACAGGCATTTCATTCCATGCAGATTGATCGACTGCAACATATTCCCTTGGAGCATGGAAAGTCATGAGCAGTTCTCCATGGATTGATCCGTTGATTCACAAGCCATTGATCCAGCGATCAACTCCGCAGGCAGTAGCAATGGACTTCTTTTGCAAGTGGGCCAAACAGCCATCGATGAAATTTTCAGAGGAGGTGAAGCGGTTCACGTTATGTGTCATCAGCGATGCTATCATTGGGTTGGATATGGCTCTCGGGGAAGACCAGCTGGTGAAGGACTTCCAGAGCTACTTTAATGGCATGTTTTCCTTTGGCATCAATCTGGGGCCACTCACGGCATACGGCAGGGCGGTGGGTGCAAAGGCGCGACTGCTGCAGTCTGTGAATCAGGGACTAGAGGAAGGGAAGCGGGAGTCAGAAGCAAATCAAGGAGGGCACGGGGCCCCCAAACTGCTGGAGAAACTGCAGGAGTTTCAAGATGCAGAGACGGGTGGGTGACAAATGGGCCTGCTGCAGTCAGCTTGATTGTGTTTTCAAAGGCGCATCATCGGCCTTGCACCCATGAAGGCAACTACAGGCATTGTGCCATTTACGCTGTTTTTTCCAGGGCTGCCAGAAATCACCATAACGCTGGTCTTCAGTGCCATGTGTCTGTGTGTGTTCGTTGCAATGGGTGTGTTACACAACAAAACGTACTACAGTAGTATGTGGCGCATATGCTGTGTGAATTATTGGCATTGTGCATTTGAAACCATGCCCTGCTTATCTGCAACATGATGCATGCTGGAAACGAGAATACTATCATGGCTCCCTGTGTCGCCCTGCACGTTGTCAAATTTGATGAGTTGAATGAGTTTCTACGATTCTGACTCATGGAGAACTGCACGAACGTTGGTGGGCTCGTCTGGGCATACTTTATGTTTTTTGCACACGAGATCACGGCGGAAATGCACTGAACATTTCGCAAAAGACAGTGGCTCAGGGAACGCGACCATGGAATGATTACTGATGCATTTCGTTGCATGATATCATAGAGAATAGAAAATATGACACAGTTGACGTGCACGACTTCTGTACCATTTCGACACACGATGCAGATGCTTATCTGCACCTTCCTTGTGATTTTTGCGTGCTCATTGTATTCTTTGCATTGTCCTCGTTGCTGTCAGCGCTTATCACGCAGCAATCCAGCGCAACCAGAATGCCGAGCGAGACTATGTGAATCTGCCAATTTGACCCTGGCGCGTTCTGCCCTCAGGCGAGCAGCTCACTGAGGACGAAGTACGCGACCACGTGCTGTTCCTGATGCTTGCGGGCTACAACACGACCGCCAACACCCTCACCCACCTCATGCTCCAGCTTGGGCGCAATCCCCAGGTACTGGCGAGGCTTCGGGAGGAGCAGGCAGCCGTGATGGCCGCCCATGGCCCTCATGTGGGCCCAAAGGCCCTGAAGGCAATGACGTACACGGAGGCCTGCGTCAAGGAGGCACTGAGGGTGAAACCCCCCGTTTTTTTTCCGCTGCGCAAGGTGGCGAGGGAGTTTGAAATTGAGGGCGTGAGGGTGCCCGTCGGGTGGACGGCTTTCCCGCTGGTAGGTGCCCGATCACTGCGATGGTCCTGTTTTCCTTTTTTTTAAGTTTCCTTTTTGGTTCTGCAGGCGCATTATTTGCCTGTGATGGGGTTTTGGGAAATTGCGGCGTAGCGGTGTAAGCCTGCACTTACATCACATTCACATATTGTACAGCTGCATTGTGGTGTCAACTACATGCTGTGTTGTGGTATTTTTGATATTGTATCGTGGTCATTGTGTGTTACAGCGAAGTATGCCGTTCTGTTGTATGGCAATGCCTTTAAATTCGTCATAGTGTCGATGGATAGGACACAGAACTGTTGGGTAGCAAGTATTGTACATTGCCTGAATGGGTGCTCAGCGTTTTCGGAACGACATGGACAACATTGATGACGTCCAACGTGAGTTGACTACTGCCACTTTGATGGCGTCGCAGATCGGCCACGCCACGCAGTTCGAGGACAGCAGGTGGACTGGACAGCAAGACGCCTACAACCCCAACAGGTTCCTCACGGAGGAGAGTGGCAGGCCGGGAGCGTGGATGCCCTTCGGCCTGGGTCCCCACGCGTGCCTGGGTCGTAACGTGGCAATCATGGTGTCTAAGATATTTCTGGCCACTCTGGCCAGATATTTCGACATGTCAATCGAGAATCTGTACCCAGAATTTGGCTTGCCTCCGTCAAATGAGCCGAAAGACGGTTTGCCAGTCGCCATCGCGCGTCACGTCGTCGAGTGATGGCCACAGCATCGTGCCGGCTCAGCATGTGAAAATGAAGTGGAGCTCGCATTGAGATTTTTGCATGAAATTGAGTGGGAAGAGGTGCTGCAGCCGGAACTCGATGCGCTGGTGCAGCTATGAAAGCCTGGCGCCTGTATTTCTTGTGGCTTGAGATCGTGACCAAACTGCTTGACTGCACTTGCTGGGCTTACAGCCCTAAGGCGTTTGTTGGCCGTTTGATCCTCTTCTTTTGCCCATTATCGCATCGGGGATGAAAATTCGAGCGTTCAAGAAGGTCCTGCGTTTCAGTGGACCCTTCCAGATCACCACTGCGAATGCGCCTTTCATTTTGAACGTGTCCGATTGCGAAAAATCAAACCAGGGGGGGAACATGTCGTGAGCATTTGTAATTGTTGTAGTTCCTCTGAACAAGAGCGACAGATTTGGCTGAGTTTGTGCACCGAGTTTCAACAGCACTAGTGATCAGAGATACGACAAGATTTACCCAAGCCTTGCGAGTTTGAGGCACGCCCAAATTGGGGGCAGTTAATGTGCAACAAGAAAGCACTGAAATCGTACCTTCAGTATGTTGAGTTATTTTTGGTTGATTGCACATGAAGTTTGTAGCCATATGGGGGCATGCGAGTAGTCTCCAACGACCAATGTGCCAGTGGCCTTTATCATAGGGCAAAATAGACCAGATTCTGCAACAACAGCCTTGGTATGGACGTTTTTCGCGCATCTTTGCGAATCCTATGTGTTCAAACGTAAGTTGTCAGCCAACCAATAGCCGTAATCATCATCTTCTTAACCATACATCGAAAGGTACTATTGTCTGCATAGCAAACAGTCAGCAACACGAATGGGTGTTGGACAATCAATTTACTGCTGACTTAGTGTTCAATTGATACTGGCAGAAACATTTTTCATTTAAAAGTGCGCGACAATGCACAATGGAAGTCTAATTCTCACGACAATTCCCTCACATTGCTCTCAACTTTGTACCCTTTGTACTTATCGAGGTTTGCTACAATGCGACGCTGGCTTTCTGCTGACGGCCATATCCTTGCCTTGAGGTCGCGGGGCCTGGGAAGTTTGCATGCACAAACCACCAATTCCTTATTCCCCTGCTTCCTTCATATTCGGCGATTGCAGCGACCACGTAGCCTGCGCATAGTGCAAGCACAAATCATCAGCGCTTCGACCCCGAAGAAGCAGACAATTCTTCACGCGCTGCCTCCTCCTTCATGGACCATCACTGAACCTTCACAGCGTGCGCACAAAACACACAGAGACTGTCAACTCTTCAACCGCTCTCGTCATGGCAGCGCATTGGCACGGCAGACCGTTGGGCGAAATGTGATCTCATCATTCCCAGTAAGGTATCAACTACCTTACCATTACGCTTGGTCTTTAGGTTTACACCTCCATTTTCGCGTTTGTGGTTTAACGCATGAAAACACGTAAATAGAAAAGAGGCCACTCTGCTGGACATATGTGCACATAGGTACGGCTCGCTGACAATCCCAGAACACGTGATAATGTCCCAATTGACGATCAATCCTCCACTCTCTCCAGCACCGGCAACACAATGCGCACCTCACCCTCAGCAAGGGAAACAACGTTGGTGAGCAAAAGATCGTTTATGGAAAATTCAGCGCACGTAGCTGCCACGCCCCGGGCTCCCTGAGTCTGTATGTAGCGTTTTCAAGCGTACAAGGCCCATTTTTACCCATTTTTGCAGATGCTTATGCGTAAAACGTAAAACCCATTTTTGCGTGTAAATAGCTGCACAGAAAATGTTGCACCATAAATACCAAGCCTGGTTACCATGGTTTGAGTGAAGTGCCACAACAATGTCGTGTTGGACACGTCGTGTTCAGTCAATTCTTCTCCCCCCTTCCTCAGCCTGCCTCACCTACCTACCACTTCCACCACTGCTGCCGCTCGCTGTTGGACACGCAACGTGGAAGTCATATGCAGCGATGTCACATCGCCACACAACAGCCTTTCGTGCAAAATGTCGGTAAGGCCCGAAAGGCTGCACTTGTGTGCAATATCGCGATTATGTGGTTTTTTGGGCTAAACGGTTGTGCTCAAGATTCGCCGTCAGAAAACAAGGAAATTTGTGCACAACATTGCCATTTCTGAGTGCATAAAAAGAGAAGAGGATGCATGTTCTGTTGTTTTCCGTGACCCCCTTACCGACATTTTGCACAAAAGTTAGTTTGTGAATGATAAGAATTCGTCATCCAGCCACTAGGAAAGAAAGCGCCAAAAAACACGTGCTCAAACGTTTACAAAGTTTATAGGTTTGGTTTATTTTTGTGTTCTTAGCGTGCAGAACTTTCAAATGTGTGTGTGTGTGTGTGTGTGTGTGTGTGTGTGTGTGTGTGTGTGTGTGTGTGTGTGTGTGTGTGTGTGTGTGTGTGTGTGTGTGTGTGTATGTGTGTCAATCAATCAATCAATCAAGCTTCCTTAAATTTGACGCTCCAACAACTAAGGTCACGGCGCCTCTCGATAGTGTTCAAGAAACATAACGAGCACATCAGGATTGTTTGTCTCAGATTTGCACCCCAAAAGAAAAGAAGACCCCCACAGAGAATGAAGTGTCTGCCAGGTAGAAATCCGCAAAAGAGCAAACCTCCAGGTCCCCAAACGCCATCGAACGTCCCACTTCGAGGAAAAAAGACAAACTCCCACCGCCTCAAAATGGCAATCTCACATAACTCAATAGGATCTCAATATGAAAGGCGGGGTGGCCCCAATCCACGTCATGCTGCCACTCGCCATATGCCACCCAAATTTTGACTACCCAAGTTCAAGTCATTGCAAGGCTGAAGGGGGTACTTGCTAAGTAGCAACTACCTGGGGGGCTCACTAGGTGGCCAAACCCAATGGGCCCATTCCCCCATGGCTTCTCTTACTCGGTGTCCGTTCCGTCGTGGGGGACCCTGGCTGCCAATCGCGCCCTCACCGGCCGTGGGCTCAATCAGCCGGATATGGACTAAAGGACATGGGGTGGGCAGGCCCAAATCCGCAGCCAGTCGGCGCCCTGCTGTACTAAGAAACACTATGAGCTGCCCGGGAAGCCACAACCGTGCAGCTAGTGTATTCACCAAGCGCGAGTCGTTCGAGCCTGGTTTGATACGGGCAGCCAAAACCGCACCAAACACACCTCGCATCAACACCCGCAACTCCCCTCCCCCAAGCAATCAAAAATATGAGCAACACACAGAAAGCACACAGGGGGAACCTTGCCCACCCCCAACTCAACCACTCACTAGTGCAAGAGAGCGCCTCAACTCAGAAATTTCAATTTTCTTAATTGCCCAAATGGGCATCCATTTCTTTGGCGCCAAAGCGCCTCACGTAAGCGGCTCTCCCGTACCGGCGAATCACCGGTCCCGTCACCGGCACACCCCCTCGCCACACGCCGCGGCGCGAGCGTGGGGAATTTGGCCGCCGACCTCCCACTGCCCACAACCGTGCTCCACAACAAAAAGCCCTTTGGGCCGAAACTCCACGCCGTTGGGCCCCTCTCGAGTCTAGGATCGGGCCGCGAAGTCAATCGCCGCCCGCCCAGATTGGGCGACATGTTGCCATGTCGATCCCAACTCGCTCTCCCCCACTCCCGCCCCCGATCTTCGGCTTCGAACGCCGCGCCTGCGGCTGCTCCTCATGGACGACACGCCCGCCCGCTTGGGGGGGCCGGGCCGCTCGATCGGCTCGTTAGGATCTTGATTTTCGGAGGACAAAAGGAGGGGTCCGCGAGGCTGCGATGGGGTGCTCTCAATCGGCGAAGATCGGTTGGAATCGTGCGCCGATTAAAGTGGCGCTCCCTCAACTCGGAGTAGAGGCCTTGGAGGCCTCGTTTCCTCATGCTTGGGCGCCTCGGTCGCTGAAGGAGACGGGCGGGCGGCGTCGGAAGGCGGGGGAGGCGCGG